GCTCTGCCTGCCCTCCCCCCTCACTGGGGTGTGACTCTGTTAATGAGCCAGCCCTGAACATGCTGCCAACTTTCCTGCCTCTCCCAGGTTTGGCAGGGGCACTGGCCCCACCCCCCCATGCCAGCCCTCTTGGGGAGCGAGGGCCTTGCTCCCAGCAGGGCAGCCTGTGCCGTGACCAAGAGGCCCTGCAGCCGCTGGTCTTTCCACCCCTGAATTCTCTCTGCCCCGCCCCAGAAGCTCCTCGCATTCCCCGCTGGGAGCCTGCGCCCTGCACTGTGGCAGGCCAGGCTGGGCACAGGCTGCGGCCGGCCCTGCTGCAGGGACAGGAAGCTGCAGAGATCAGATCAGTGTCAACCCGGAACTGGCAAGGGGGGGATCAGACCCGGAGCAGTCAGCGCCCGCAGGCAGGAACGGCGGCATCTGTCTCCCCTGCTGGCCTGGGGCATGAAAAGCCCTGAGCCGCCTGCCAGCAGCAGCGCCTGGGGGGCCAAAACTAACCCCAAGCCGCCCACGCGCCCATGGCTGGAACGTCCAGGCCAACCCCCAGCCCCGCCCCGGTTACACGGCTGGGCCCGGCTGTCTTGCCAGGAGGCTCCAAATCCTCCCGCAGGGCCCCGCTCCCAGCAATGCCCCCAGGAGCAGAGCGAGCCTGGCGGCTAGTCCTGCTCAGCCCCTGCCGTGCGCACCAGGGCTGGCTCGGGGCAGCTCGACCAGGCCTCAGGCAGGCAGCCGGCCCTGAGCAGCTGTGGCTTGGCTGGGGATGCAGCGGCTGCAGGGGGGTGTCACTCACAGCCCCACCCAGCCCAGGCTAGGGCAGCTCCTGCGGGCTGAGAGCCAGTGGGACGGTTTAAACCTAAAGCGCCCAGTTCGGTGAAGTGCTGGCACTGGCCCACCTCCGGCCTCCCTTCCCCCGCGCCGTGTGCTGACTCGGGGCAGGGGGGGCACGAGGAGCCGGCCATGCATTGCGCAGCCAGGGCGGGCCCAGCGCTTCCCGCACACAGTACTGCAGCCTCCCAGCAATTCCCCCACCCTGCAGGGGGGGGTCGATTCATGCTGCCATACAGCTGGAGGCCCTGCTGGCCCATTCCCCCGCAGGCCGGAGCAGCCCCACGCAGGGACCGGGCAGCACTGTGCCCACGGCCGCCAGTGGGGCGCTAAGAAGAGACTGGCCAGTTCTGTATAGGAAACACTGAGCCTTTATTTCAGCAGCAGAGAAATCCCATCAGCCTGCGAGCCGGGGCCCCCCAAACCCAGCCCCTCGGCAGGGCCAGCGCGTGGAAAGACCCCCTCCCGCTGCCAGCCCTGCCCGCAGCAGCTGCTGCCCTCCCCCCTTGGGCGGTTCCCGTGGAGCAGGGGAGGGCAAGGTGCTTCCCAGCCGTGCACCATGAACCTGGTGCCACCACCAACCCCCTGGCCACAAGTCCTCGCCCCGGGGCACGCTTGGGCTGTGGCCCTGCCAGCCGCCCCCTGCTGCCCTGCTATGGGGCCTGGGGCCCAGGCTGAGACCAGGGCAGGAGCCGATTAGCGCCATGGCCGGGTTGGCCAACGGAGCAGCTGGCCTGAGTGCTGCCAGCTGCCACCCCGAGCAGGGTCAGTGGTAGGAAGCCCAGCGCTGACTCCTGGCAGTCAGCCACACAGCCTCCATGCCCATCCATAGCCTGGCACGAGGCGCCGGGGGCAGAACCCCACACATGGGCCGGCCAGGCCCAAGCCCGAGGCGAGGAACCCAGGGCCTAGACCCCGTGGGATTGGCAGGTGCAGAGCCGGAGGTGTCCCCCACCACAAGCCCAGCCCCCGGGAGCCTGGCCAGCCCCCGGCACCGACGATAGCGCTAGGACAGCAGCAGCCCAGCCTCGCTTCAGCGCTGGGGAATCACGCAGCTGGGCCAGGAGCACTCAGCTCTGTCTGCGCCCCGGGCCCCCCGTCTGCCCCCCTCTCTGTCCATGCCCGGGGGGGGGCACCGGGGAGCACGTGCAATCGATTCTCC